TCCAATCACCAGGTTGACGAACCCGGTAAGGGAGGCCAGTAGCCTCGCGCCCGCCTCACCCGCCTTCCGCGAAATCAGGGCCACCAGATGACCCGGGCGTAGCCCGTCCGGGCCACCCGCCGAACCCGGCCTGAAGGAAGCGATGGCTTTCCTCACATCCCCTTCCCCTACGATAGAAGGAGGCGGGTAGTCCTCCCCTGCAGGTTCAGGGAGAGTTAGGTCCTCAGGTGCCGGAGGATGCTTCTGCCGGAGCACTTCTCGGGTTCTATCGTCCCTTGGGGCAATATCATCCAACGAAGCCAGCATACGCACAGCCCCCCTTATGTCACCCTCGGCCAAGCTTAATATAAAGGGAAAACTAGAGAAGTGACGGAATTACCTACGATGTTGGAATATACCGTGTTTACCCTATTAAGGATAGCTACTGCCTAGTGCCTACCAGCATGCAGCATTATCATACTTGACTAACTTGAGAAATTGGCGTATATCTTAATTAGATGAGGAAATTAGAAATGAACCAATTCTAAAAAAAAATTTAGTTTGTCTTGCCAGTTGCCACTATGGTGTTGGAAGGTGTGGCAATGATGGCATTCTAATTTTAAATTTTCTAATTACAAAAAATGAAGAATATATTTTGTAGGTTTCTCAGGTCAGGTGTTTCTCTCATTTTGTTTAACCCCTGTAATGGGCATTGGGGCCTGCCGGCCTGGCCCACTTGGGCCCTGTTTGTACATACATAATACACTAGTAGTATTTTTTACTGTTAGGTTTGATATAAATTTCTCATTGCTAAATGCAATTCTTTAAAAGATATAAGAAAAATAAAAAAAAAACTTTAAAGTTTTTCAAGTCCATGACAAGCTATCTTGAAATTGATTTGGTTTATGTACTGTCAATTGCTTTAAACTTGATAAGGGATGGTTTTTAGCATTTTTTAAAATAAATTCTTACCATGAAACATTTCATTAACAAGTGGAGTGTGAGCTCATTTTTGAAGCTTTCACAAATCACAATTCACAACTTGCATAGTGGAAAACCTGTGGTTTTTTAGAATCAGCTTATTTTTAATTTCCTCTGGGTGCAGAGGGTGCACCGTGCATGCAGCATCGGGCATCTCTGCTCATCTCTGCTCAATGGGCATCTCTGCTCATAATTTAGATACCAGTCACTTTTCCAGAATTGGCAGGAGTCTTCTGATAACCTTGACCATACCCACCTTCCATAAAATGCCTACACCCAACTTTTCAAAATTATGAACAATTGTGAAGGCTCTGCAGCTTTGCGGCCTGGAACCGATGCTAAGCACACAGAACATTCTCCTGCTGACTGACTCCCAGTCAGCCTTGTATGCAATCTCAAACACCATCAACCCCTCATACTTTGACGACTTTTTTTTAAATGATGCCATTTTTTACTAGCTAAATTAAACTTGAATTGAAACATGCAAAATACAGATCTACCATCAACCGGGGCTACTCGGGACGGGCGGGGTAACTCGGGACAGTCCTCCGACACGGCGTAAAACTGTTTTAGTAGCAAAACTAATTGAAATATTGCAAAACTAAATATAGTGGCGTAAACATCAACATTTTTCCTATCTATGTAGTATAAAGGAAGTTCAAAAATACTACATTCACTAGCTTTGAAAAATTCCTGAAAAAAATGGTGAAAAACAATATTTTGAAAAGTTACTTCTGCTAAGGTCTGTAGTAAAAAATATATTCACCGTATTTAAAAATTTTACTTACATAAAAGTTGCACCCAGGTGTCGGCTTGAAAACGTAATTGACAGATTTTGCCTATCTCATTAAAAAAAAAAATGCCGGTCATTTCTGCACGGCGGGGCTACTCGGGACACCCCCAAAAGCGCATTTACAGTAGAACCTTAGTTAGTAAAGGCTCCAGTCAAGACAATAACTAATAACTGCACCAGTATGGGAACCTAAGCTAACTCACCACTTGAGAGGAAGTGAGTGATTATTTATTGCATATATTACTTTTATTACTCAATTAATGTTGTATACAAATTGTTTATACTCTGTGATTTCGCTTTGTTTCTTATTTTCTATTAATTGTGTTAAGTGTGTTTTAATTCTGCAAGCTATATATTTTGGTGTTCATTAATTCTTCATTAAGCTGTTTGCTGTGATATAAGTTTGCTTGATTACTTTTTCTGCATCCATAAGCACCACAGTTGCTTTAAGAACTCATTATTGAGGTTCTTGATTTTTACCATAAAATTGGGTAACTTAGACCACTTTTTTTTTCATAAATGATGCCATTTTTTTACTAGCTAAATTAAACTTGAATTGAAACATGCAAAATACAGATCTATACTCTAGCTTCACTCACCATAAATTGCTGGCTCCTGCCTCTCATAGTCTTTGTGTAATTTCAAAAAAAGTGATGGTCTTTGTTACCCCTGCTCTTGGGGTATCTTAGACTGGGTAGTAAAATGAATTATATTTTTTTGTAAAATAACTCCAAATAACTCCAGGTTTTGGTGCATTGCAGTAGAACTCTTCTAGTTACATACTATGCAAATGACAAACTTGAGGAAAGTGTCATAGTTTGCAAATGGGGGGCGCCGCCCCAAAATGAGGGAAATGTGACTACCTAATGACAGCCCTGATGGGGTAATATTGACTGGCTTGGAAATTAAGTTAAAATTACGGTACCATATATAAGACTCTGTAGAGTCTTAAACATAAAGAAAAAACATAAATAGGCTGTCAAACATAAAATATGTTATATATGGTAATTTTAAATTAACTTCCAAGCCGGTCTATGTTACCCCATCAGGGCTGACATTAGGTGGTCTAAGTTACCCCATTTTACGGTAGCAGCAAAATAAATTATTCAGAAGATTTTTGCTGTGTATTTGTCAATAAATCTTGAGGGTCAATGAAATTTTTCAACAAAAAGCCTCAATATTTTCTTGTAATACCGTACTTGGATAACCTATTAGATATGCAAACTTTTTAAATCTTTCTATTGTGTTATGTAGCCTCAGTATTAGGCCTTTAATGCCCATTGACAAAATTTTTCTACGTCAAATAGTTTGTGAGTTTTTGGGGTTGCATTGTAATTGTAATGCTTTGAAAAACAAAGAATATTCATTATATTTACATCGCTTGGCAAAAAAATTTCACTTATCAAAAAATTAGTGCATCATTGGTCATCACAAAATTGTGCATAGAATGTCATATATAGAATTGTGCACCAGGTATCATAGAATGAAAAGTAATTGACTTAAACTATGATTTATTTCTCCAAAACCTACGATAGTTGTCACTAGAACATTCCTTTCTGTTTCAGGTATGTTTTTCACAATCTTTTTTTATAGTATATTCACTTTACCCAATTAAAATGGTGGGAAATTACAAGCCATCCTGTAAGCTTACAGATACAGAAAAAATGGTATAAGGCTGCTGATATGAAGCTTGCAGTGGACAAGGTAGTTGAAATGCTCAATGGCCTGTTCATGAATACGGTTATATTGCATCAATAATACGGTAATTAATGTATATGGTAATATCATATCAATAAAGGAAAAAGAAGTAAAAATCACAGAAAATGTCATTTATTCTACCTCTACATTATCTATAATGAAAGAGGAGGACTTCAGAGTACTGTTAGTAGTGGATGAGCACCCTCTGCATGCTTCAAATGTTTCAAAATTAAGTTTTATTCCAAGTGTCCCAAATAGCCCCATTCAATGAGGCTACTGAGGACTCTCTTTTTTTGCTTCTGGCACCTTACAAATAGCATATGAAATTTTTTTGGAGAAGCTATGTGATAGCCCTTGCAAAGAGCTTTGAAATGAGCCGAAACTTGTTTTTGAAATGTTTCATGGTAAGAAGTTATGAATGAAAAACGTTTGAAATTGTCACGAGTAGCCCTGGTTGATGGTACGCCACTATTTTTATTAATGCAATATTGTGATTAGTTTTACTGCTACAACATTTTTCTGAAATGTGGGATGACTGTCTCTATTTACCCCGCATGTCCCTTAATACCCTGTTTGACAGTAGTATGTCAGTCTATGCACAATTTTGTGATAACTGATGATGCATTAATTTTCTGAGAATTTTTTTCACTTAGCAAAGTAAATGTAATCAAAATTCTTTGTTGGTAATTGAGGTATTTTTGTTAACTGGAGCCTCTGCTAGCCTAGGTTCTACTGTAAATGCGTTTTAGGGGTGCCCCTTATTACAGCATAGGGGTGTTCCTTATTACCTTGTCTTGTGGAAATTCTTTGGGGATATGAGCTACGCAATTTCCATCAGTCACATTTTTATGCCAACACCTGTGTGTAAATTTAATGCAAGTAAAATTTCTTAATATGGCAAATATTTTTTTGCTACAGATCTAAGCAGAGGTACTCCTCCAAAATCTTACATTTCCACTAATTTCAGGTATTTTTTAGAGCTACTATTTGTATGATTTCTTACCTTGCTTTATGCTACATAGACAGGAAAAATATTGATCTTTATGCAACTATTTTTATTTATGCAATAATTCAATTAGTTTAGTTGCTACAACAGTTCTATGAAATTTCGGAGGACTATCCCCATTTACCCCTCCCATCCCTTATTACTCCGTTTGATGGTACATCATTCAGAGATTCATAATATAAAAAAATTATTTAACATTTTCTAAAGTACTGAATCACTAAGTATCATATTTTGATAAATTCAAGATATTACCTATCTCTGTCATGCAATTTTATCAAGAAATAGTTTGCATTTAGGGAAAAATAAAATGATCTTAGTTAATGTAGGTAGTAGCAGCAAAATAAATTATTTAGAAGATTTTTGCTGTGTATTTGTCAATAAATCTTGAGGGTCAATGAAATTTTTCGACAAAAATCCTCAATATTTTCTTGTAATACCGTACTTGGTCATGAAAAACGCCATCTTTTGCAATGAAATGCAGTCAGAAATGCTGCCTCAGGCTGATGAGCTGTGATGGACTGCTGCACCTGAGTAACTTGCAGCACCAGGTTAACTTATGACACGTTATTGGTTGTTCAGAGATTGAGTTGATTGATTTACTATCCAGAATATTACACATTCCATTTGAATAATAATGACAAAAGCTTTATTTCAGAACAATGAACCCATCAGTGAAGGAGTATTACCTTATTGGTCAGGGGTCTAGCCATGATTGACTAGACCAGAGTTAACATTGTGCAAGGAAGATGTTCTCTTAGAATTAATCTTTGCATCAACTCTATAAATCATTTGTCCATTGCTTTTGTAACTGCTGCAGCTTTTTTTATGCTGTGATACTTTTTTTGGTGAAGAATTCCTCAAATCATCATGGCCGAGTCCCGCAAAAATGTTTCACTCTTGCTGGCAACAGTGGACAGGCATTGTGCTCGGCAGGAGACAGTCTCTAGACGAGTAATCATGTGAGTGTTCTATCAATGATAAATTTCACTAATTGTGCAGTGAAAGAAAAACTTGAATTTTCTTGCTTAAGTGACTAATTTAATGTCAGATTTCCTTGAGATTATATTATTTTAAGGTACCTAATCCATCCTAGACCTCGAACATATTTTTTTTTCAGGCATCTTCATCAAAAGATTAAGTTATTGACATATTATTCATGATTATCAAGTTTGAGGAGATATATTCTATCCACTTTTTTTTTAGGAAGAATATTTTCATTCTTCATTGTATAGGTAATTTGAAATATACCTATAAAATGTATTCTCTCCATATTTACTCAAAAAGAATATTGATTAAAGACTACATTTCTAAAACTTTAGTAAATAGACTATAACATAAAAAAAAGAAAATTGTCACATTTTTATCACACAGATACCAAGTGGCCACATTTGTGTTGACATTCATCACCTACATGCTGTATCATGCAAATCGGAAGGTGATCGGGGTAGTGAAGCAGGTTTGGAATGAGAACTGTACCTCGTCCTACCCTGAAGAGTCCCCGTACCACAACACTTCCAACTGGTGCGACTGGCCTCCATTTGGTCAGTTCTATAATTATTAGAAATGATACACGTGTATTATGGTTGATTTTTGCTCTATGATGTGCTACTTTTTACAACACTTCTCTTTAACTTCACTTCTTGTTTAATTTTTTTCTTTGTTGTCTGCTACAAATCTTCTAATAAAAATTTAACACACTTCTACTTATCCTATCGATCTGAAATTTTGCACACTTGCGTGAAGTTGAAGACAATGCATGAATCAAATGATGAAAAAAATAATTTTAAGAATAAAAATTTTTTTTTAATATTAAAAAACTGAAATAAATAATTTTGTCAGCTACAAATCTAATGATTGATGATGTTTGACACACTTTTGCCTGTCCAATTGATCTGAAATTTTGCACACTTGTCTGAAGTTGGAGGCAATGCTCTAATCAATTGACAGAATAAATAATTTTGAGAAAAAAAAAATTTGTATACGGTATACCGTATAAAAAAATTGAAAAATTAATTTTTTAATATTCAAAAATAAGTTGAGAAATTCATTGTACATCTTTAACATTAGAGACACTGGATTCTTTAGAAGTGTTGTCTTTAAAAAGTAATTTGTAAACATACATTATTTTACAACACTTCTCTTTAACTTCACTTCTTGTTGTCTGTCTGCTACAAATCTTATAATCAATATTTAACACACTTCTACCTTTCCAATCGATCTGAAATTTTACACACTTGCATACAGTTGGAGACAATGCATGAATCAATTAACAGAATATAGAATTTTAAGAATTAATTTTTTTAATTTAACAAATTTGAACAAATAATTTTGTCTGCTACATTCTTATAATTGATATTTAACACACTTCTACCTCTCCAAACAATCTGAAATTTGGCACACTCACGTAAAGTTGGAGACAATGCACGATTCAATTGACAGAATAATTAATTTTGGAAAATGATTTTTTTTTAATTTTAAAAATAAAATTTAAAAATTACTTTTTTAATATTTGATAGGTAATAAAATTAGAAATTCATTGCACATGCGTAACATTAGAGGGACTGGATTATTTATAAGTGTTGTCTTAAAAAGGTAATTTTTAAAAGCATATTTTCTCATGAACATGATGGCTTAAATTTAAACTTGCTTTTTGCTTAAATGTGCAGGATTTTTGTCGGCCTGTTAAGTTTAGTCATATTCTGATGCGTGCTGCTCATGCGCAGATGGAAATAATGCTGATGAACTACTTGGAACGATGGACCTCTGTTTCCTATCATCTTATGCTGTCTGCATGTTCATCAGGTTTGTGTATTAGGAAGCAGTTGTAAAGTCTGTTTCACTACACTGCCTTACCACCAGTTAAAGCCTTTAATAATGACAAGCTCTTTAGCGTAACATAGTGAAGCAGACCTGATGTGGCCTGTTACTGATTCTTGTACTTTCCATGACTTGTCCATAGGAGATCTAAAAACAGGTCCTTCTACCTGATCTTTTCCAAACTATCGATAGTTTGAAATATTTGCTTGAGTTCCACCCAGTTTGATATGGTGCTAGACATTTTAAGTCTGAACATATATTTCTCCATAGCTTTATCTAGTCATAGCTTTATCATACTGTGTGCTTGCTATCATACAGGTTATAAGATTTCCTCCAGTGATGACTTTTCCTTTTTTTTTTTTTTTGACATAGAAATGCAAGATAGTCTGGAGTAAAGAAATTTCATGGATCTTGCACAAAATCAATACCACTTTAACAAAGTATCAACTCTTCATTTTGTGGTTGTTATAGTTAAATATTAGAACAACCTCCATGGCTCACATATCTGTTGTTTTTCCACCATGTGCTGTAATTTCAGAAATTGTACTGTAAACTGAATACATAATATATGAATGATGCAAGTGCAGTTTGTAACAGTGAAGAGATAAGATGGATTTTCTTTGTCAGCAAAAATTTGAGGTGAATTTAATGGTTTTCACCTTGAACTCATAGACAAAACAAAATTCAGATGAGGCTGTATATTGGTTATTCATACACGAAAATTAAAAATTCTTACTCCCTACACAAAAATGAAAAATCTTGTAAAATAACTTTTCAGTGATTTGACCACAAATATAAACAGAATATTGCCATAGGTGGTAAATAATTTGGAGGTAAAAAGCAAGTAAGATATAATTGAAAAAAGCAACATATGTAGTTAGCCATTATCACAGTAATTGTGGAATAATCTTAATTCCAATAATTGCAGTGCAATTCTACCATTGAATGGAATTGCAGAGGTCAATCACTGAACAAAGTGTGCATTAAATGGGAGTGGAATTGATGCATAATCAAATGGGCAAGAAAAATTAAACCTCTTAGGATCATGCATGGTAAATCATACCTGGTCCTCTAGTAGCTTTGTGAAATCAGATACAAAAAATTACTCACCCAGACAATTGCAGTCGCCAGTGCATTGAATTCTAATCTGCCTGTTGTATTTGTCACCGCTTTCAACTTCTCTGTAAAATATTATTGGAATTTCCACTGTGTCTGAAGGTAAAGACTGGCCTCCATTTTCACTTTTCCACTGGCAACAGTGGAATTCGTGAACTGGCAACAGCGGAATTTGTGAACTGGCAACAGCGGAATTTGTGAACTGGCAACATCAGATAACTTGTGACAACTGATAATCACAGTGACAAAAAATCTAATACGAACAATTATTCAATTATAATCAAGCCAAATTTGATGTATTTGATTTTGTTCCGATGGAACGTCTTGAAATGATTGAGTGAATACGAATTAAATCCATAAAAAAGGTAATTTTGTGGAAATTACAGAAAAGAAAACCCCCTATCTAAAAAAAGTACCATATATATACATTTAAAACTTTTCATTTTGAAGCACTGAATCCTGAATGTTTTTCCTAAAACTTAATAGCAAAGAAAACTCCACAAAAATTCATAGTATCTTTAAAGAAAACGTTTTGGAGTCCAGCTCCATCGTCAGTTCGAAAATCCTAGAACACAGATAAATCAGTGATTAGTACAAGTCAAGAATACAACGAAAATCCTAAGCTGCAAAACCTACCTACTCTAAATCTTCTCATTCAATCATTTTTTTTTTTTGACAAGTTTACTTGTTGTCTAATGAAGGATTTAGCGAGCATATGTGTATTATATACAATAAGTTGATTTTGTTTACCACTTGCAGCGGGTATGTGGCAGAGCGCAGCAATCTGCGGCTGTACCTGAGCGTCGGCATGTTCCTTGCTGGCTTCTTCAACCTTTTCCTGGGCCTGGCGTACTGGTTCGACATGCACTCCTTTGCCTACTTCCTTGTCTTCAATGTAAGTTACTCATGGCTTTCTTCTTAGCAAATTTTCTCATATATGGAAAAATGGCGCTAATGTGCTCGTCATGTTCGTCTGTACGTCCGTCTGTCCGTGACTTCAGGTTTTCGTCGACGAGAAAGTGCGCTCTCTGTCACTCACTGCAGTGAGTAGTGAGTTATATTTTTTACAATAGTGTGAATAAATAACTATTGGTACTCAAGTTTTTTGCTAAGTTGCAACGCTGCTGAGTAAGCCAGAGTGTTCTTATCCAAGAAGACGTAGCAATGCTGCAAACATGAGAAGGTTTTGTATGCAATTTTTTTGTGCCAGTGATTATTAGTGTCATGAATTATCTGACTACTATTATTTGCACTACTTATCAAAAAATTAATAAGTGATTCTTCAAATTTGTGTTTCCAAGATGGGACTGAGCTATCGAATGACGCAAAAAATAACCAATATCGTGTATAGTTTTAATTTTGATCATGTAAATTAATTGATATATTTCAGATTCTGGCTGGAGCTTTCCAGGCGACGGGGTGGCCGGCGGTGGTGGCGCTCATGGGGAACTGGTTTGGGCGCTCCAAGCGCGGCTTCATCATGGGCGCCTGGAATGTGCACACCTCCGTGGGCAACATGTTTGGGTCCTTCATTGCAGGTCAGAAGCCGACATGTTATGTAGTCTACATGTTACGCACACCTCCGTGGGCAACATGTTTGGGTCCTTCATTGCAGGTCAGAAGCCTACATGTTACGTACACCTCCGTGGGCAACATGTTTGGATCCTTCATTGCAGGTCAGGGGCCATACTTTCAAAACTCGCTAAGTGAACATAAGTTCTTACGCTCTATTTTGTTGTCTATGATTGGTGGATTTTGCTTGGCGGGCCGTCATTGGCTGATGAACTCACGATCTCTTAACTTTTTTTGAAAGTAGTGCCCCAGTACCTAGCCTACATGTTACGCACACCTCCGTGGGCAACATGTTTGGATTAGGACTAATACATTAGTTACTATACTGCACTTACTTTTTCATATGCGCTCTGCTGTTGATAAATTTGTATCAAAGTTCTTGTATTTGCAGGTCTATTTGTGCAAGAGGCCTGGGGTCTGTCGTTCGCCGTGCCCGCCGTCATCATGATGGTCTTCTCGGTGGCGGTGCTCCTCTTCGTAGCCCCACACCCTACAGACGTGGGGCTGCCAGACCCCAACGCCGGGGTGAGACCTCAGACCCCAACATGAACTCCAGTTCTTATTTGCAGGAGCCATTATGATATCTCTGAGCCTCATTAAGCCGCTAATTGATCTTCTTATCTTATATGGATGCAGGTCATTATCCTCCCTGCCTAAATTCTGCTCTAGACACTAACCCCAACCCCCCTCGGAGAAGCCGTGTCTGCCCTAGTTGAACTCTAGGCCGTCTCTAGTGAAGCGTAAACGTCATTTTGTCCTTGTTTTTAGTCCAATTTCTCGTGGTGTGTATAAAATATTGAAGCTTAAAAGACATAATTTTGTCCTTATTTGAATCTTTCTTTTTACATGGTATGCAGCAAATACTGACGTGAGGGATGTCATGTTTTTTATGTTATTGTTATTCACATGTTAGTATATCAAAATTACCTATTGAAGTTTAAATACAGCCAGTTGTGTTCGTGGAACTTTTGTTTGTAGTTTCTGCTGTGACACCACTATGTGTGAAGCTTGCTTCAGGGCATACATACATACATCTGTGTGGAGCCTGTGTGTTTTTTGTGTTATTTTAAAGGAACAGCTGTTTATAGAGAACGTAATCAAATTAGTGTATAGTGTTTTCCAACTGTATATTTTATATTCCTATTCACTTGTTGAGGCATTCAATCGATCCATCCTGTGGTGACATTCCAAAAGGGATTAAATATCCGTTCTATTAACTGACATATATTGCGGCCAAACTTATATCAAAAGTTGTCTTATTTATTAACCGTAAATAATATAAAGAATAACTCTATTGCTTGTTTGTTAATTTGCATAACATTCAAGTTTGTTCACAATAGATGAACATTTATCAACAGCGTCTCCGTTTCGAATTTACTTATGTGGTTTTTCGTTCAATATCTAATGTTATTGACCGGTTCTCTCTCACATCTGTAAAATCCACCAACACAAGTCCATATTATTGAGGATGAATCCCATAATAAAGTAGTTATGCAATTAGAATTAATTATTTAATTAATTTATGATATGAAAAATATGGCGGACACGCAGGGTCGGCGCAGCAGAGCCAGCGCGTCTGACTCGGAGCGCCGCAGACTGCTGGACGTGAGTCATGCTCAGGATAACTGATAACTTACTGTTGCTGATCACTGATAACTTCCTGTTGCTGATCACTGATAACTTCCTGTTGCTGATCACTGATAACTTCCTGTTGCTGATCACTGATAACTTCCTGTTGTTGATAACTGATAACTTCCTGTTGCTGATCACTGATCAATTACGATCTGCTGACCGCTGAACTTTACTATACATTCATGATAATCCTGCTTACATTTTCAATTTTGTCGAATTTGTGATTACTGACGCATGTCTGCAGTTAAATTTTTGTTTGTATTAACTCCAGCAATTCTTACCGTATCCACCCCAGCAGTTATTCACTAATGCCCCGTAGCACTTGTTCACCGGTAATCTCTAGCAGCTACGGTACTTACTAACCTCTTGGCAGTTTTAGATAGTCCCTTGCAGGTGTTCAATAACCACATGTCATTAAGAAAACCTGTGACAGGTGTTATTAATATTGGGCACCTTTTTTCTAATCGCACGGCCAGCTCTTCACTGTTTGTTTGTGGTATTTGTTCACTGTCTCACAGGTAGCAACTCACCTATGATCTTTGACACCCGTTTTCTGATCGCATGGACAGATGTTCACTGTTCATATATTTATTAACACTTTGACTGCAGTTCAAATAACCCCCTGGCTACATTTTCCCGTTGTAACTGCCGTTTATGGCCGCCACTGACGCCTGATCGGCTCAGGTGGCAGAACTGTGTAGAGCGGTCGAAATAAGCTACGATATCCAAAGAGAAAGCCATCTCAGTTTGACTGTTTTATGGAGAGGAGACGAGGAGGACCGTGTGAAGGAAGGGCAGAGGTGCGAGTGAATAGGATAGTGTCTTCGCGTCCGGAATGAATAGCTTGAGAAACACCAAACCCCTACAAAAGATGGATGCCAAATTCGCAGTAGAATAGAATAGAATAGAAGTGTCGGCACTGAAGATAGAAGTGTCGGCACTGAAGAAATAGGCCCATGGCCTGATGCCGATTCTTGAACTTTTCGTGACTTGATTCACAAGGGATCCGGCCTCTGGAACCAGATCTTTCCATAACTGACGATTGATTGAGATAGCTGCTGGACTTATTGCCTGGTCCGTAATTTTCCAGGCCTGGTCCATTTGGTATAGTGATGTCTTCCTTGTTGTAGTAATACGTACGTCTATTGTACTAATAGGTTTCCTTGCTGTAGTAATACAAGGAGGCAGTGGGTGCTCCATGTACCTTGGGGATTGTTGGAGTAGGTTATTTAAGGAGTGACAAAAACGGCTGGAAAACTAAAGGTTGATCTTGAAGGCGCTAACAAAGAACTGCAAACTTGTGCAATCCAAATGAGGATGTCATCATGGGAACGTGGTCCTTAGAAAGTAAATGATTTAAGGTCCGCGATTGCGGCGAGACGGCAAGTTGCGGCTGCGTAGTTCAGAAATAAGCACAAAATTGTTATATTTTTTTTACTGATGTCGTCCTTGTTGTAGTAATACTTCTATTGTAGTTATATATATACTTGCTGTTATAATACCTCTATTATAGTAATACCCTTGTCTGCTTGTGCTTTCATAAAGCGCAAGTTGCTGGCGTCACTGTAGGGCTGTCGCCATGACATGGGGTGAGGAAGTGGGTGCTCCATGTACCTTGGGGATTGTTGGAGTAGGTTTGGTGGGGGGAGAATGTGGCAGGTCGAGGTATATGGCCGTGTTTTTGATTGCTGGCTGTCGTGGATTAACAGCTTGACGAAGTTTACTCAGAACGATAGTCCCGGAACCATAGCCATAGACCCGAAGGATTTACCAGGAACTATTTACCTCAGACGTTCGAAAAGATTTCGGATGAAGTAAAACGCCCTATGCAGCGTCGTGCACCAGGGAGAAGACTAATATGGTTGAAATTATGGGTTCAGCATTCTTTCGCTCGACGCATTTTATAATCGTCCGATCCTAGTAACTCGAAGTATTATTCATGTCTATTAAAATAAAACGGTGCTGTTCGTAATTATCACTAATACTTCCTGATTTTCCGCAGCACGTTTTTTTTCTACCTCAACATTATGCCTACTTTAAACTAATGCCTCAAACGCCACAGGAATAATTTTTTCTTGATTTTTAACCCTCCATGCCCCGCTGTCACTTGACTTGTGTGTAACTAATGTTTTTAATGCACCGCTTATATTTTACTAATATAGATATGTTCAACATTATTTATGCTAATTTTATTCTAAACTCATACTATTATTTTATTATTATTTAACAACACTGAACAGTATCATTATTTAACATCATTAAACTAATTTAGTGTAGTTTCCTGCCTACAGATATTCCTCGGAATTTTTCCCCCTGCTAATCATATTACTGGCGGCTAAAATTTCTGCTTATATTATTATTATTAGTTGCTTTTGTCTTCCTTTAATATATTTTTTCGTCCCAAAATTACGTTTCGTCCCAAAATTACGTTTGGTCCCAAAATTACGTTTCGTCCCAAAAATGCGTTTCGTCCCNAATTAATACATTGTGCTTGTGAACAATAAAGCTCGTTGTTATTAGTACTTCCTTGGCTTGATTTGTGTGGGGATTTCGCTTCAATTCGTTCAGGAACGCACTCAATTTTTTATGTATAACTTCATTTAATTACTTTTTGCTGACGAATGTAAATGTATTTTTATTTAATAATTGTGCTGACTTATTATGGCTGTGGGAGGTTCACTAATGCAGTAAACTTCGTTTTTTGGTTTTGTTTCTGTTTTGTTATCTACATATAAAATTATTGCACGAAGCGGAATTTTCTATATTGACTTGAATAATTAAAACTCGGTTATTTGTCAAGTTAAGCAACGATAGAGAAACTTATCCCACTGACTAATTAAAGAGAACAAAAGTTTTATGTAAAAACTTGAGAGGCTTCATTTAACAACTTTGTTCATTCTTATTAAAGTGCCATAGTTGCGTGGCTGTTACAATTAGCTTTGTTTGAGCGTGTGGGGATTTGCTGTGGCGTTCTGCATTGAATTTTTCCTGACCCTAAAATTCCAGTGAAACGTGAACATTCTCACCATAAGTTCAACTTCGTTACATGTTTGATTTGTACACGTTTCTACCGAAATTTTTAATGTTTCGATGTACAAGTCGATTGAATGGAATTCAGTTTCAAATTCATGGAATTCTGCATCTAAGTCAAGTGATGAGACGTCAGTAATTTTTCAGTGTACCGAATATAACACGATTTCAAATTAGATTGAATAGAATTCATTATTCGCTACTACAGAGCGTTAGTGTGATGGTGTTCTGACGTTGGTGTGACGGTTTTGTGACGTTAGTGTGATGGTTTTGTGACGTTAGTGTGCCAGTGTTGTGACGTTAGTGTGCCGGTGTTGTGACGTTAGTGTGACGGTGTTGTGACGTTAGTGTGCCGGTGTTGTGACGTTAGTGTGACGGTGTTCTGACGTTAGTGTGCCGGTGTTGTGACGTTAGTGTGACAGTGTTATGACGTTAGTGTGACGGTGTTGTGACGTTAGTGTGACGATGTTGTGACGTTAGTGTGACGATGTTGTGACGTTAGTGTGCCGGTGTTGTGACGTTAGTGTGACGATGTTGTGACGTTAGTGTGACGGTATTCTGACATTCTGACGATGTATTAACGTGTGCTGACGTCACTCTCAGGTGGCTGACGAAGATGACTCGGGGAGTGTCAGCAACAAGCCGCTGGAGGACGGCGCTAGCGTCACCAGCAGAGTGTCAGCAGCGGCCGCTGCCAGCAGTGTGTCTGATTACCTGGACAACGTCAGCAACAGCAGCCATAACAGTAATAACAGCCATAACAGTAATAACAGCAATAGCAGCCATAACAGCCATAACAACAGCAATAACAGCCACATCAGTTCTGATCGCAGCACGACTGAGCGCAACGCCCGCGCCGTTAGCCTGCGTACTGCGCTAGAAATCCCGGTAAGTTTTGTTTTTCGCTGTCTATTTAAGAATTTACGTGTATAGCTTATCGATGATTCAAACAATTATCATCAAGGCCCCAACACCTGTGTCTCCTCATTCGAGGGAGGCAGTTACTCGCCTCATTAATTCTATTTTACTTGCCTCATTAATTCTATTTTACTTGCCTCATTAATTTTATTTTACTTGCCTCATTAATTTTATTTTATTTGCCTCATCAAGTTTATTTTACTTGCCTAATTAATTTAATTCCATGTATTATCCACAAGTAATGTGGATTACGAGTTATAAGTCCCTCCATGTGTCAGGGTGTGCTGATGTTCTCCCTGGCTCTGTTCTTCATCAAGTTCGTGAACTACGTCTTCATGTTCTGGCTGCCGAAGTACATTCATTCTGCAAGTAAGCGCGACTGAAGGAAATAAAATACTCTAGTGTTTCTTGACGGAGTTCTTAAAAAATATAACTCAGTACTCACTGCAGTGAGTGACAGAGAGCGCATTTTCTCGTCGACGGAAACGTGAAGTCACGGACAGACAGACGGACGGACAGACAGACATGACGAGCACAATAGTGGGTTTTTTTCAAAAATGAGAAAATGCGCAAAAAATATACACTAATGGCTGTTATTAAGATATGTATGTGTGTTCAAGAGGCTGAACTATTTAAAGCTCTGTAATTTGCATTTTAATAGCATTAATAGAATAATATAGAATATTTCTAAAAATGTAAACCAGAAAACATCCATCATAACCGCGCCATAATTCACGCAATCTTTCTTCTGCGACATCAAAACTCGGCGACACAATCGCCGTATATTTCCCCCCTCGATTTAAATTATTTATTTATTATTTATTTAACTTCAATTTGATTTATTAATAATCAATTTAATTTAACTTGTGAGCAATAATGCCGACATGTGATGATGTTAATGCACCCGACATGTGATGATGTTAACGCACCCGACATGTGATGATGTTAACACCCCCGACATGTGATGATGTTAACGCACCCAACATGTGATGATGTTAACGCGCCCAAAATGTGATGATGTTAACACCCCCGACATGTGATGATGTTAACGCACCCGACATGTGATGATGTTAACGCCCCCGACATGTGATGATGTTAACACCCCCGACATGTGATNCTGCTGGGCCATGGTGAGCACTGCTGGGCCGTGGTGAGCACTGCTGGGCCATGGTGAGCACTGCTGGGTCCATGGTGAGCACTGCTGGGGCCATGGTGAGCACTGCGGGGCCATGGTGAGCACCGCTGGGCCATGGTGAGCACTGCTGGGCCATGGTGAGCACTGCTGGGCCGTGGTGAGCACTGCTTGGCCACGGTGAACACTGCTGGGCCATGGTGAGCACTGCTGGGTTCATGGTGAGCACTGCTGGGGCCATGGTGAGCACTGCGGAGCCATGGTGAGCACCGCTGGGCCATGGTGAGCACTGCTGGGCCATGGTGAGCACTGCTGGGGCCATGGTGAGCACTGCTGGGCCATGGTGAGCACTGCTGGGCCGTGGTGAGCACTGCTGGGCCATGGTGAACACTGCTGGGCCATGGTGAGCACTGCTGGAGGGGTCTGTCGGTGGGTGAATGGGGTCTGTCGGTGGGTAAATGGGGGTCTGTCCGTGGGTAAATGAGGTCTGTAGGTGGGTAAGGTTTGGGATACGAGGTCTATCGGTGGGTAAGGTTGGCCCAATCTTAACCACCGACAAACCCCGTACGGCGTACCTGGTTGGGCCATGGGTCGGTGGGTCTAGTGGACGGCACCGGGTCTTTTGTGGGCGCTTGCAAAAGGCACGAGGTTAAAATGTACGACATCACACCCGCTGTAACAAAGCCGCTGAAGTAATTTCCGATTAAATAAATTTGCTCACGCTGCGACGAGCTAAATTAACTTGTTATTGCAGGTGCTGCCGTTGGACCGTTCCTGACGGGGTTGGTGGCCGACCACTTCGGCTGGGAGAAGGTCTTCCTTATGCTCATGGGGAGCTCCGTCCTCGCCATCGGTTGCCTCCTGCACCTCACGTGGAAGGAAGCGCGGCGCTCCTGCTCTTGCTGTCGTCGTTAATTTTTAAACCGCTCAAAAGAATGAAAAATTCTGCGAACTGCGTATTAAATACTGTAAAAGAATTTTAAACACTAAGAAGATCGTATTAAATACTGGAAAAAATTTCAACTACAACAAGATTCGTGTACACTACTGGCTAAAATTAAACTGCAACAAACTGCGTATCGAATCTTGGCAAGCCGTTCATTCGCCTCTTGCTTTCTGATGTAACTGCTTCTCTGCTTTGTTCTTTTTTCTTCTTTTTTACACTTGCTGTGCCGTTTATCATCCTGTTCGCTGATGCGATTGCTAATTCTGGGTGTATTTTTAATTAGTTTCTCAAATTGGCGCTTCGGTTTCCCTACTTTTTACTGATTACTAATTTTATTGCGGTTATTCTTATTAGCATTGTGAAGTTACCTGCTCTGTCCCCGCCCCTATACTCTTTTGTGTGCAGCTGCAGCAACGACAACTGTTTCTCCAGCTGCAGTTATGAGTGCTGCTTACGCTTGCAGCTGTTACTTCATTTTGCATCTGCAGTTTTGGCTTATTCAGATGCAGGTGTAACTGCTTTTTCTGCACCTGCAGAAGCACCTGTTCCATCCTGTGCTACTGACAGCCTCCTCAATGGCGTTTGTCTACTTTCACTATAATTATTTTCTCTAGAATATCAATAAATATATTTAGAAATTTCTGAAAAATCTCAATCAGTACGAATATTTCAATTTATTCAACGAAAAGTTTAATTCTAATGACAAGTTATCTAGCTAATAATTTTATCCTGGTATGAAATTATCCGATACCAATAAATGATGTAGCTTATCGGCTTAGCAGTAACATAATTGTTTATTTATTATAATATTCTTTATTATAATATACGTGTGTAAGAGATGAACCCTGGATGATGTATCCCAGGATGCTCTAATCCCGAGGCGTCATGTAAACCTAATTGTATTATATTGCATGCTAATTAAATAATATTTTTATAAGTAAGCTGATGATTATTGCGACTGTGCCGCCCCATACCTAATCTCAAGACGTATTTATTTACAATTTTCGTGCAAGTTTTACTGATGGAATTCGATTGGTCATAGTTCTTATGAACGTTTCTTGTCCTTCAGCGCAATTCAGGACGAGGAAAATCCTGAGAAAATTATCATCTTCTTGTTGCCTTCTTCTTCGCTTAATTATGTTCGAATTTCATCCCTTCAATGGTACCGTATTTCCCCATTTATACCCTTACCTTAAGGGGAGCGTCTGCCCCAAAATCGAAAATTTTTACTTCTCCGGTTTTTATACTCATCTTAAAGCTTACATTCTGACGCATCTAACGGTACCAAAACCATCTATGTACGTTGATTTATGGTATCACGACAGATCACGAAAGGCTTAGGAGTGTTGGAGTTCTTTCACATTTAAGATAGGCGAAAATTCGCTGCCGAGCAGATAAATAGATGGTCTGAAGTCGCTGCTCTTTAGTTACCCGGCTGCTGTCGTGCCGGATGATGTTCATGCAGTCGTTCCCACCATCCTGGACTGAATTTCAGCTCCAGTAACGTCTAGTCTTGTATCCATGCCACCTTGAATGCCTATTTCGAGGCGCTCGAGATAAAGTTTGGGGTAGACGCTCCCCTTAACTTAGCCTTGCCCCCTAGCACAAGCTATGCACCTTGAACAGCTTATTTATATACGACCCAAAGATGCTGATCTTTAGTTACCCAGGTGCTGTCACGTGGGATGGTCCTCATGCAGTCGTTCCCACCATACTGGACTGAATTTAAGCTCCAGTAACGTCTAGTCTTGTATCCATGCCACCTTGAATGCCTATTTCGAGGCGCTACCCGAACTGACAGTGCGCATACGTCACCATCAGTCGGGACCACCTCTCCCAACAGTGACAAGTGTTTTGTGGCAAATATTTTCTCAACGTCTGTCTTTGTTGTGGCAAATTTTTTTGTCTTTGTATTGAATTGTCACTTGGTAAATTGTTTTGTTCACTTTTCGTTATGAATTTTTTTTTTAATTCTATTTTGTTTCTCAGCTGCAATTCGTTGGAACGCCACACGTTGCATTTTACAGAAGTTAATTTGCATTTGAATTGCTATTTTGACGCGTTTGCCTGAATGACCATTCTTTATAATTCCACTTGGTTCATTCCCTTCAAAAACGTGAAGCAGAAAGTTATTTCTTTCCTAAGCAACGAAGTTTGAAGTTCAACTTCAGTAAGCATTTATCAGTGAGATTATATATACGCTTGGCGCCTGTATACCGTATTTCGAAGCACCGGACGCAGCGGTATTCGGGCCTAATTACCTATGCTTAGTATTATTCCTCTTGGAGTTTCATTTATTCAGGGCCAGTATCCTGTATTCTACTCAAATTGGATTTTAAAAATCAAGTTTTGTGTTAATTTCCATGTTTAATTGCGTTGATTGTTATCAGAAAATGTCCACATTCTATCTCAGGCACGTGAGACGAAGAAATTCTAGCGATATCTGGCAGCATCGACGTGTGTTGCTGAACCTATCCTGTATTAAGCAAGTATTCTAAGATTTTAATTAACTTTATTTCTATGTATCAGTCCTGAGTCTTCAGCATTATTATTCTTGACTGAAGAAATGCCGGGTCATTTTAATTTATTCTATGGCGATTAGGCCATTATTGTTTTCTTTTTAAGGTCGAGAGGAGCATATTAGACGCACAATCGTTTTTTAATTGGTGATTTGGCATCTAATCTCACCTGCTTGCCTGCCAGCATTTATTGGCTGTGCCCTTTTCATGGCGAGTTTAAGAGTGGAATATGTTATAAGTGAATTAACTAAACTATTTACATCCATTTATGCTGTGAAGGCCTCATTCCATTTTCCCTGTACCTGGCGATGGACGCATTCCAAAGATAGGGTACGCACACAGTGAAAGCAGGTTGCCAGCGTGCTGGTTACCTGCTGAGGCTGGCGCCTGAAACCATAGAATAAAGAAGCCTATTCGTACATGTTTTCACTGTGAACACTTACATTATTATCCTATGTCCATTCTTGTGGCAGGCTGGAGCAGGTTGCCCGCGCGGGCAAACCTGCTTTCACTGTGTACGTACCCATAGACTGTCCACTGCAGTTATGCATAGAAAAACGTGGCTAGAGGAAGTCTTCTCGAGCAGTGAGGAGAACCGGATTGATGAAGCAGATTTTCATGGAGTTAATCATAATAAAACGTGTGCTCTACTCAAATAAGGAGTCTTTTTATCCAGATACCAGCTATTGGCATCTAATCTCACCTGCTTGCCTGCCAGCATTTATTGGCTGTGCCCTTTTCATGGCGAGTTTAAGAGTGGAATATGTTATAAGTGAATTAATTAAACTGTTTACATCCATTTACGCTGTGGAGGCCCCAATTCCATTTTCCTTGTACCTGGCGATGGACGCATTCCTGAGATAGACTGTCCACTGCAGTTCTGCATGGAAAAACGAGGCTAGAGGAAGTCTTCTCGAGAAGTACAGGATTGATGAAGCAAATTTTCATGGAGTTAATCATAATAAAACGTGTGCTCTACTCAAATAAGGAGTCTTTTTATCCAGATACCAGCTGTATTTTGAGACTTGAATTATATAAATTAGTAGTCGCAGTGGCATTAGCCTCAAGTCATGCAAGTCAATTTCGAAATAACATAAATCGACTCTGCACTTGTTGGTGCAATAATCACAGATGTAAAATTTCAGAGCTGAATCACCAGCTTCAATGTCAACCCATTAATTAAAGCAAGTTTCCAGCATAGCACAAAAAAAAACAGCTAATCTCCTCGAACCCAGTATGCGTACACGCGGGCGCAGTCTGGAACACGATGGTCGTGCTCAACACCTTTGTTTGCTTCAGGAAAATTGCCCAAAATTAGCTCGTATCTGTGAGACTTGGAAGCGACGTTATCATCTTTAACAATCTAAATGCCTGTCGCTGAGATTTGTCGCTTTAACAATCTAAATGTCGCTGTCAGTGATCTAAATGAGATCACTGATGCAAAAATAGCAATGAAAAAATTTTTTATTTTGAACGATTATTTTCATAATTAGCTTGAAAATATCAATAAAAGCCTCTATAGAATCTGCATTTGCTAATCAAGATTGATATGGCCGTTTTATTTTTCAGGTACTTGTAGTTGTATATTATATGGATTTTCATTAATTTTATTTTACGCCGAAGGTCCCAACAGTCTTCATTCTCCCTAGAATATCTAGAAGCGATTTTAAATCTACCGTCCGTAAGGCCAGTCTAGTCAAGAAAAGTACAAGAATCGGCGACAGGCCTATTTATTTAATGCCGAAGATACTATACTATACTAAGTTGTATCAATCTCACTGACAGGTCCTTGCGGTCAGTGACGGCCGCAGACAATATCTTTGTTCCCTATGCGATGTCCGTACTCCGTGTCCCAACGCTCGGTTCAGCATTTTTCTGACCCCGGCCAGGCCGGACCTCAGCAAGTGGCCAAGTGGTTACAGTACAGAGTACCCGGTTTGGAGCAGCCAGTTGCGGGTACCATCCCAGTTAGCCATGACATTTCTGGTCAACATAAGCGAGGTAGCCGGGCGGTCAAGCGCAGCCAAATTGAAACGAGTTGCATGTTCGAGACCCCCAACAAGCTGGGAAAATTCTGCGATGCCCAGAGTCGGCAACAGGTCCAACGGCCTGAATAAGACTGACACCGCTATTACTGTTGCGCTGTGTTCAACTGCGTAAATTTTTACAAGTAGTCGCGTCATAGAACAAATTTCTGACATTTCAGCAACCGACGTCCGTAAGGACAAACCAACTCATGGTACAATCGATACTTTCAATAATAGCCAAGTGTGAAGGAATGTAAAACAAAGTTCACGGATGACAAATTCATGAAAGTTTCAACATTGGACGTTTGTTGAACTGTTGTACATGGGAAAACACAAAAATAAGCTTGGAAATATCTTGCTAAATGTGCTTTTACAAAATCAAACCCATATTAACCCTCTACCGCCTGACACGAGTAACCGGGGCAATATTGTCACAAACCTACTTCCCAAAATGGATACGTTCTGCTGAGCGCAAAATGACTTGCACTGATGGTTGCCGCCACGTACGACAACTTTAAAGTGTTCTATGTTGCGTACAAACGTCCTCGGATTGCTATTCCGGAGATTGACATACTGAGGGTAAGACTGATATAAAGCGCCGATGTAGTAAGTCTGTACGCAATCCTAGGGTAAGATACGAGTCGTTAATTTAGGCGTTAAACTAATTTTGCTGCAGAAAACTACACCAAAAATGCGACTTTGAAATAACAAAGAGGACTGGGAAGCAGTGAGTGGGAGGTCGTTGGCAAAATATGATGAACCTGCATCAGCAAATTTGAGAGTAATACGCACAACTTAATATAGAATGCAAAGAAAACAATTGATTTTTGACATGAATTCCCAGGAAATAAGAACACGTGCAAATAAAAAAATCGAATTGTTCGCAGCTGCCTGCGGTATCACAAAAAACTCGGAAAATATATATAGGTACTTCTCAAATTCAAAATATCTAAATTCTTATGAGATCTGTTAACTTATTATGTACAAATAACACGAAAAAAATTATTCAGTAATTATTACAAAAATTTCAGTTTAGCACGAAGTAGCACTTGCCAGGCAAAGAATAATGAGGAAGCATATCAGCCTTACACGTGAAAGTATTGTATATCTTCAATTTGCCTAATGCAGATACGAAATTAGTGAAAATATCAGATGAATTGAAGTACGTAGCACTTAAGCGTAATAATGCAGTTTATGACTTGAATTCTGACAATATATATTCCCGCAGTTTTAATTGAAATTATCAACAACTTAAATAACCTTTGACAGGATCACTTGTACAATCATTATATACATTGATATTTAAGACTTAAACGAGAAGCTCAACCAAACACAACAGCCACGTTCAAAGTAATGTACATATTTTAAATTCATTACTCAATAAATCGGAGAATTTTCAACAAATCTACACAGCTAATGGAGATCAGAACACTGGGAATGAAGCTCCAACTCGCGATAGTTGAAAATGCTTTCTAGGTAAAAAAGTCAAGAAAGATATCTGTTCGCATCATTATTATTCCGCTACACCAGCCGTACTGCTGGTACATCAGGGATCTTCACTCGCCAAACTGTAAATGAATTTGTCCAGTGTCGCCATCTTCGTCGAAGCCAAAGCAGGTGTCCATTTCCTTCTTGGTTTCCTTTTTGATGTCGTCGGGCAGGAGCGGCTGCTGCAGCCCCAAGATGGTGGGGTTGATGGCGGGGTCGTCTTGGGACACAACAAGAGGGGAGGCAGGCAGGAGGCTGCCATCGGAGTGCAGAGGGAGGTCCTCACCCCCTACCATCACGTGGTGCCCCTCACCCCCCGCCAGCTGGATCACCTCCAGCACCACGTACTGGTTGCCGTCGTCACCCTCCACCGACATCAGCTGATCTTCGTCCTCTGTTGTGTCGTTTTCCGCGCCATAAACTTCCACCTGCAACCAAACATTTTGTCTGAACACGAACAACCCGCAGTCAAATCCAACCTGCAACTAACATGTAAACTTTAAACCAGAACCTGAACATATGCAAAAAGCAAATACACTACAGAGTAAAAAAATTAGTATGATTAGTTACCCAAATAAAATTTTAACAAGGACACAACTATCCCTCACACACGTTCTATCCTTGCCCATACCAGCCAGCATACAGTATTACACAGCCGTTTTTATTGCCTATCACGCATGCCACGCCCTAGCGGCGCTCACCTGCTGGCCGTTTATGAGTTGCAGGCGCTTCTGACGTCCAAGCTTCAGCGCCTGGGACTTCTCCTGCGCCGACGCGTCGGGGTCGTGGATTGCCATGTGCCGGATCAGGTTGCCTGCACAGAAACACTCAAGTCATTACTTGGCGAGTATTTACACCTCATAAGGTTTAGAGAATTCCAATGGCACTGTGACCACATTGATTGCATTACAAAGTTTCCAAAACTTGCTTTATAAGTTGTTTCACCACTGGCATCACAATGAGTCTCTTCATACATTACACAAGTTGTATTGCATTGAAACACCAATGGGTGGTAGTTCCATAACAGTAACCTTGAACTTTATATGAAGAACAATCAGTCACTGCCTTACCTTTGTGTCGGAAAGCCTTGCCGCACTCGGGGCACTCTTGGGTCTTCTCCCTAGGGGCGGGTGGAATGTACTGCGGGTTATGGTAGAGGTTCTGGTGCCGCCGAAGCAGCTGCTTCTGACGGAACGACTGTTCACACATCTCGCATCTGCACACGAATTCAACATCAGAAAGAAAATCTAAAAAAAAAAAAACAATGACTTTCGTTCAGTGTGCACCAAGATGGCTCACGCATCTGCACGGCGTCTGCTCTTTGTGCGCCAAAGTTTGACCGAGGGCGAACCTACACGGTTTTTGCTCCGTGTGCACCAACATGACTGCGCACGTGCCGGTTCGGCCTGCTCTATGTTCACCGAAATGACTGTGCATGTGCCTGTTCGGCTTACTCTATGTTTCTCGACATGAATGTGCACGCGCCTGTCTGGCCAATTCTATCTATGTTCAACAACATGACAGTACGCACCTGTAAGGCTTTTGCTCCGTGTGCACCAGCATGTGACTGTCAAGATGTCTTGAGGAGGTCGAGGCATAGGGGCACAAGTCGCACTTGAAGCACTTCTCACCGTCGTGAGTCTTGTTATGGAGCTTAAAGGTATAGCGGTCAGGGAAGATCTTCGTGCACTTCTTGCACTTGATCGGCTTGTCTGAAGTGTGGAGCTTCTGGATGTGGATGCGGAGGTCTGTCTTACGGCCACATGTCGTAGGACACAACTCGCATGTGTATACAGGTTTGCTGCCTGCACACATCATAAAATTTTAGTCGTCATCGCTCTACTACACGTCCCAATATTTGTAAAATCAATCTAAGACCCATGTTTAACGCTACCTTTCCAAGTGCTAACCTTGGCAAATGCAATAACAGTACAGCTACAATAAATTAAACTCAATATAGTGGTATACCTGACCTTACAATGCAGAGCACATCCCAATGCCGATTTTTTTCCCAAATAGTCATTCCAAAAGTTTTGAATGCGGACATAGAACATTCATTGTTAAAGAGTGGTTGGGTTAAAGAACTCACAACTCACGTATTGTGTTCAAAATGAATATAAACGGCCAGGAGGTACACAAGAATTTCATCAATGGTCAACATCATATGAAACAAAATTATATTAAAGCAGCACATAAGATAAACATTAATATTCCCTTCCAGCAAATATCTGCCAAATCAGATTTAGAGTTGAACTCAATAAATATTCGAGGTCAAGTTTGAAAAGAAATGCTTAATTACTCATGCACATCAGTAATAAATGATCGTACCGGTGTGTATGAGCTTGTGGGCTTTGAGAGAGTTGCTCTGGGTGAACCTGGCGTGGCAAATGTCACATTCGTAGGGCTTCTCGCCGGTGTGTATCCTGAGGTGTCGCTTGAGTTTGAAGGTGTCGGGGCTGGCGTAGGTGCAGTGGATGCACTGGTAGGGGCGCTCGCCAGTGTGGCATCGCATGTGGCGCTTCAGTTTGCTGAGCTCCACGCTGGAATAGTGGCACTCAGGGCACTTGTGAGGCTTCTCTTGCGTGTGGATGTAGCGTACGTGGCGCACCAGCTCTCCTGGGGATCATGCATCGGTTAGCACGAAGGGATGTTTATTTCAGCAATAACAAACATGACAGAAAGCTCAAACTGTTACAAACCTCTTTAAATTTGAGAAATCTCCATTCATCAGTTTGTACAGAATACAAGTTCTAAATTTGTTATCATTATTATTAGAGATAGTTGAAAGAGTCTGCTGCTGGGAGTACTATAAGAGCTCGAGAAGCAATGAATGCTAAAAACAGCAAATTTAAGTTGCCCATAGAAGCAAAAATTTGATCAATGCACTTGAAAATTAGCAGTGTAAATCTCAATAGAAAATTGTAAAAGACGATGACAGGAAAGTTGAATGACTGAGAAAAAAAAAGCCTGATCAATCCTAAGATATATAAAGAAATATGGAAATAAACTATTTCTTTTTAACAGTAAATAATAAGCTTTTGAATTGAGAATTCCGGGTGTTCCACATTGTAATAACATTACTTCTTTGGACTCGCAGCAACACAGCAACTATACATTGAGTAATAAATATGCCTCATCCAGGTGAATAAATACACATTGTGAGGGACGGCGCCCAACAATAACTACGGTACTATAAATATTTTACAGGATTTACATACTAATTACTTGGCTGCTGCTCATCGTAAGAAATGTTTAAAGGAATATTTAGAATTCGGTATCAATTCTTTCAATTGACCTCAAGAAGAACAATTCTTTATAAAAGTTAGAGAAGCTCTAAGTCTGACCAATGATGATAATCATATTATTCAATTTTAAATGCTAACTATATAAATTTGCTTAACTTTAATATAATATAAAGCGAGATTATGAATTGAATTTCATAATTATTAAATTTGACTAACGAGCAAAAAAAAAAATCTAGTTTTTGGCCTGTATGGCCATGAACTAGATTTGTGAATAGATTACACCACTTGGTGACGCACAAATCCTCTACAAAGAGCATTTGTGTGCCAACCTAAGCACACAAAACAAACACACAGGCAGTACAGAGCAGTCACCTGAGGTAGTGAAGCCGGTGTCACAGAATTTACAGCGATGTGGCTTGACTCCTGTGTGCGTATTTAGATGATTCTGCAGACTACCAAGTGTCTTGAAGCCTCTCTCACACACGGAACACTTGTGCGGCCGCTCTTCACTGTGTGAGCGCATGTGTCTGATGAGCAGGTATCTTTTAGTGCTCGTATAGTTACAGTAATTGCACATGTGTGCTTGGCTCCCGGTACTCTGTGAGCGCCGTATCGCTGATCGCTGTTTGTTGTTACTGCCGCTATTGCTGTTGATGAGAACGCCGCTCCTGGGTGGTGGGTCCTCCTCGTCATCAGAGAAAGTGAAGGCGTCTTCCCCTTCTGTGAAGTCGTACACGGTGTGGTCCTTGTCGCCGCCGCCGTCATTTGCGTTCTGCTCCACGATGAGGACGTAGCTCATCTCGCCAGGGTTTGTGGTCGATGGTACGATCGTCACGATCTGGTTGCTATTGCCGGTGTTCAGGATTACCTGGTTCGCGCCGGACGCGCTGCCTTCCCGCAACTGAAATACAAATGAAATTTATCCACCAGAAATAATTTTCTATTTCAGATGTAAGCCAAAATTAGTTCCTGTCACTGATATGAGAAAGACAGCTTTTAACCGTGAATATTTTCATCATCACAATTGTCACAAGTCTGCTATGTGGTAAAAGTTTGAAAGTATAATCTCACTTGTAATCTTATGGCGCAGAACGTGTCCAGTATCTAAACATGTCATCAACAATTAACCCTTTATGAAATGCTTAGAACACCAAATCAACACCAGCAAGGACAAAAATTCCGGGAAATATGCTCAATAAAATTACTTGCAACAAGCCATCTTCGCCAACAGAAGCGATGGCTCCAGCCAGAGACTGCAGGGCTTCATCATCTTCAGCACCGTCAGCTCCCATTAAGCCCGAGTTCTTTATGGTTATAACACGCGACTCATTACACAAGTTCAGCTGGTCAGCCACTTCTCCGTCCTTTGTCTGAACTTCATTAGACACGCGTCCAGACTTAGTACTGCTAGGCGCCCGTCGATGCGCTGCTGTGGCCGAACCACTACCATCTGCAGTGCCTGATGTAACTGGTCTCTTGCTGGGACCTGAGACAGACTGCGTAGGTTCAGATATGACGACGGTGTGCGTGATATTGGAGTTGTCACCACTGCTGATGGTGTGTTCCTCAACCTCTCGGTCGCCATCTTGCTCGTCGTCCTCAGTGACCACAACCACCTGCTGGGGAGCGCCCTCCAGAGGCTGGTAGTAGTAGCGGCCAGCTTCATCTATGAACACTTGAGCCACTTCACCTGCAGATGAAAATTAGATTAAGATTTTCATTATGTCAGCAACCTAATATATTGGTTAGGATTCCAAATTTATTGTATTGATACACAACAAACCACAAAAAAATTTACAGAAACCTGTAGTAATAAATATACTCTATAAAGTGCATCTGAGTGCCAACTCTAAGCAATATTTTATTCTATGGTTCATATGTGTGAAATAAGAATAGTTGTTAGTTACAAGCAGCTGAAATTCTGAACCTAAGCCAAACCATTAAATGAACTAATTTATTGCTCAAAATTAGAGTCAATATATACACAAAAGTCTAAGCTTACAGTCACTATTTGGTATGTTAGAGTGTGATTACAAATTTAAACAATTGTAAACACTCAGCAACAAGCATTATGATCACTTGGAATTATACGACAATATTGGGTTAATACAACAGAATAAGACTTGTGTGAAGACATCAGCACCAACCTGAAGATATGTGGGAGTCTACTTGCTGGATCTCTTTATTGAAGGATGAGAGGTAATTCTGTATATCAGATATGGTCTCTCCACAATCATCCATTCTAGCACCGAGTCAAGGACCTGCAATATGAATGTCATATTAAAAATTAATAAAACCCCACTAACAATTATTTATTTCCCTCATGTATTGATGTTTAAACTTTAATATATCTTGGAACAGGGCAGACACATTAGATCAAAATTTATAACACACAGCAGGCAAATCTTCCTATGTACTTATATAATTTTGTATCTATCATAAATGGTAATAGTTCAAACTTGGTGTATATTTCTGATTAATATTGTTGCAGATCATTGCATCTGAACAGATGTAATAATCAAATTCCAACTAAATCAAATGAAATCATTTCAGTAATTGATGCACCCTCAGTATAGACTACTTTGTAAGAATTTTATTCAGATCTATCTTATTTCTGTTACCCTGCAGCTCATTGCTTAGTTGGTAACAATTTGATAACATCTAGGTTACCCTAAACTTGTTGATGATTGCGTTATTTGCCTTATTGCAAAGTGTTGGTTGTGACCTGAATCACATTTTAACTGCATTCTTTCATAAGAAATCTGAAAAATACAGTATCATGTGCTTGAATGCCTCTCAAGTGAAGAAATATTTTAATTTTTTTCTATTGAAGCAATTAGAAAAAGGCTATTGCAATTTGCAATGGGTTAAATATAAATAGTTCATATTCACAGCCATTTTTTTCCAATTCAAGGGTGGCTTCTGCCCAATATTTCCTTTGTCTTAGGTTAGGGCTTAGGCAGCATAGTGGAAGTCTATGAAGAGAGGTACTTATGTCGGTCCACCGCCGTGCAGCGGTCCGCCGTCTTAACCCTTCGCAAGGCCCCATGCCCTTGGCCCTTGGGCCTCTGTTGCAAGTTGCAATCAATGCAATGGTCTAAACTCAACGGTTCGACTTCCATGGTCTCATCACAACTCCCTTTAGAAATACGTAAAGTTTTGAAATTTATATAAATATATCAATAAATATTTGAACTGGGAAATTCCTTAGTTACTTACGTTGGTTCCAGAATGATATCAATGACGTAAAAAATGACAATGACAATTATGACATCGGTTAAGAAGCTTCNATGATTTATGATCGAAGTACGTATTTGAACTTACGATTTAAACTTATCTAGACCTGCAAACATTCAGTATTATTCCTGTCTCTTATACACATCTAGATGTGTATAAGAGACAGGTTATGTGCAATAGGATCGTAAATTTCAGTGTAAAACCTATTAAAATTTTACGTTTCTGTGTGGATTTTGATGCTGTTAGCATTGAAATACTTGACAGTATCTCCTGTCTCTTATACACATCTAGATGTGTATAAGAGACAGATCCAGTACCATGCTCCCGCTGAAAATTCCTGCATAATGAGTGAACCAAAATGTTTTGTTGGCAATTTCTTAGTTGCAGTCAAATCAGAGCAGGCAAGGAATATATCTACTTGGCAAGCCGCCATTGAATTTGTCAAGCCATGCATTTATGACTTTGCCAGCCATGATTCCATTCTTTGAGCTGTGATTCAATTCAAGCCATGAATTCAGTATCCTGGCCATGAAAAGCCATTTACAAGCTGTAAACTTATTTGCAAAGTCCCTGCATGTGTTACCCCAAATCTCTAATTTTACCTTAAACGTCAAATGGCAACAATAACATTAGTCTTTACCATAAGCCAAACACTAACACATGTTAATGCAGCCTGACTGCTCTAACATGACAGCAACTATGCACGCTCTTCAATGAAACATTAAAGTTGACTTGTTATTATTACGATAATTATGTTCTGCAGAATATTTTGCAGGAGCATTAAAGTAAAGCAGATTGCAGAAGTTGAAAATTTTATGAAATGTCATGTTTGAGAAATGCAAACTGTGGTTTTTTTCAATCAAAATAAAATACATGACGTTAGAGCCACGAGACTTCATACCTACTGAAATTATGTGATATTAGAGCTGCAATATTTCAGAAAAAGTTGGACAATTCCCGATCTGTGTCAGAGTCAGACTGCATAATAACTTTGGTGTGTTGTTTGTTCAACAAAAATGCAAACAATATATTATCATGTGCTCAATTGTCTCTAAATTGAAGACAAATGTTCTTTTTGCCATTTCTCAAGTGAAGTTAGCAATTTAGGTTAGCCAACATCTGCACAGGACTTCTGAAATGAGTTTGCAACTCAAATGGACTCAGTCTCAATCCAACTTAATACTTATGAATGGCTTTTTATGACATGGATATGGTATTCACAGCTCAAAGCAATGAAATCACTGCTCAAAAAATCCAGGTCTGGTTTGAAGAGAAAAAATCCCATTCAGGAAGTAGATTTTGTTCTCACTAGTAAGTACCTAGTAATTTAGTAAATATGATCATTTCATATTTTCATTGATGATTTTCAAAATTTGTAGGTAAAAATAGTCCATTTGAAATTTTTTTCTATTGAAGCAATTAGAAAAAGGCTATTGCAATTTGCAATGGGTTAAATATAAATAGTTCATATTCACAGGAATCACAGCCATTTTTTCCAATTCAAAGGTGGCTTCTGCCCAATATTTCCTTTGTCTTAGGGCTTAGGCAGACAAGTTGACAACAACTTGAACAAGTCAACAAACAATCAACAGACAACAGCAAGTCAGTTCCTACTGTCAGAAGCTTGTTCAATACTGCAATAGCACATTTTTTGCAACTTTCTCAATTTACATCTAGCTAGGCTAAGTAATTTTAGGATATGCAATACAGAATTTGAGAGTTGAAGTTATGTTGGATTAAGATGCCTTAGCTCTAGCTAATAATTTTGTTGAGTACCTTAATTAAGTATCATTAAATGATGTTCAAAACCATGACAAATTGATAGAAAAATTCAGAAGTCTGTGAAAAAACTTTGATATTTAGAAACGCCTGAAAGCGCAATACAGATCATTGAATCTTGAGCCTTTGATAATAATTAGAACTTGTTCTTAGTAAATTATTAGGCTAGCTATCTTGTACTTTTAGTAGCAGTTTGAAATTAAAGCACAGGATTCAAACTTTTGAAGCTTACCAGAATTTTTTTTATGGCGGCCATACTCTTCCAAGTCCACGTACATTTATAATTAGTATTCTCAAGTTATAGATGAAAAAATAACCGGAAATGAACGTAGCGGCCATGTTGCAATATGCAAGGACCGAAATTTGTCAACAAATTGTAAACATTCGCACGTTCCGAGCGCGACCTAACGGCAGATGAGGCGTTCTCAGGTTAATGAAATTGATTGTAGGGGGCGCATTGTTATAGGTTAAAATTTGCTTACAAGCACCTATAATGAATTATAACTATTCGGCTTTCCCTGAATCAATTTGCTTCGATATAGTTACCGAGGTTTTAGTAGATAAAATTGCATGAAAATGAGTACATGATGAAAAAATTACCTGAATGTCGAGAACAAGCCTTCCACGATCGCCATCAGAGTGCGCGCATGACGCATGGCTTTTATTTGCTTCACGATTAGGGAACAATTTCTGCTCAAAGGGAATAAAAATGCTAAAACATAGGTATCAATTACCTATTGTCAATTAGGTTGATGAGAAATACCTCAATGATTTAAATTACTTTCCTCTAATTGATGATAAAGAAAGTAAGAAACTATCATGAGAGTTCGCATAACGTACTTCATTTGTTTTCCAGAAGAAAAAAAGTAAGGGTAAACTTCGTGAAATCAACTGGTTGCACGAATTTTATTATTATTATTGAATAGCCGCAGACCTCAATGTAANCGAGTTTTATTATTATTATTGAATAGCCACAGACCTCAATGTAAAACTACAGCCTAAAATAAAGCATCATCACACTAATGATATGATAATTAAATTTTATATAGATATTTGCTTTTGTCCCTAATTAGTGACGCGAAAGATGATGCTTCATATAAATCATGCTCAATAATACAAGGTAGTATAGGTAGGCGGAATTTGTTCTTTTATGTAGGTTTCATTGAAGGCCAGAGAATTTGTTTCATTGGCGAATTTCTTTTTAGTTTTTCCCAACATATCGAACAATATTTTTTTTCCGTTTGCACAGATAAATCGAAAATCAGGGTACCGATGGGCATTTCTATTTCGTTAACGACGTTTCGAATGTTTCAATCATTCATTATCAAGTTAAAAGGCCCATTGAGTACTCGATCGACAATTCTACGGACTCGCCAGCGGACTCGCGCAATTGGGCCACTCATAATTCCTTAAATACTTAACGGATCTGTATGAATTTTGGAATATGAGTATTAATTATTGATACGCTGCCACAGGAATTATTACAGATTTTTACATGGATTATTTTTTAATTAAAACCAATAAATGTACTTTTTAGGCTACTGGGCCACTCATAATTCCTTCAATACTTAACGGATCTGTATGAATTTTGGAATATGAGTATTAATTATTGATACGCTGCCGCAGGAATTATTACAGATTTTTGCATGAATTATTTCTTAACTTAACCTAACCTAACTTAACCTAACCTACCCTAACCTAATAATAAGTCATGCAAAAATCTGTAATAATTCCTGCGGCAGCGTATCGATAATTAATACTCACATTCCAAAATTCATGCAGATCCGTTAAGTATTGAAGGAATTATGAGTGGCCCAGTTGCTTAAAAAATACGTTTATTGGTTTTAATTAAAAAATATGTCACGTAAAAATCTAATAATTCCTGCGGCAGCGTATAACTAATTAATACTCACATTCCAAAATTCATACAGATCCGTTGAGTATTTAAGGAATCATGAGCGGCCCAGTTGCGCGAGTCCGCAGGCGAGTCCGCAGGCGGGTCCGTAGAATTGTCGATTGAGTGCATTAAGTGACGAAATTTGGGTCGACATAAGTACAAAATCATGTAAATAG